TTAAAACCTGTTGAGGACCTTTAAAGTATGAACTTGATATGCTTTGCAGTTTTTATCTTTAATTGTATCTATAACGATCCAAGGTGGATTATATAACTTAAAATAATTAGGCATGAGCTTATATAATAGGTTTAACACGTGTACTTATCGAATTTCCCCCCCATGTATGTTTGTATGCTTATGATAATTTTTTTAACATAGAATAGAGCCCCCTAACCCTACTCTTCATGAGATATCATGCTACCATGTCTCCCTGTTGCTCTGTCCCTGGTGGAGGAGGGCAGTCTGGTCTCTAGCTGTCTCCAGATTTGGCCATGTTATGATCCCAGGTAGAGAACATTCCAACCTAGTGGAAAGTGACTCACTAACTTCCCTTCCATCTGGAACAATATCAGATTCCAAAAGAACACTGGTCCCAAGGGGAGCAGTGCAAGGTCTTGAACTCCAGCAGGAGAAGGGAGGGGATTCCAACTCAAATGACTATCAGGAACCCCACAGAGAACTGAATATTGCCTATTTGGGGCTGGAAGCCATGTTGGGTGAGTGAGAGGCAGAACTTCTGTTGTTCCAGAAGAAATGCTGAATCCGAAGTCTTCTGTTTGCTTTCTGAAGGAGAATGGGGAATAGAAAGAAGTAACAAATTCCTGAAAATCCTCCCCAGGAATTAATGGGCTGGCCAGGAGGGTATATTCCAGCCCAGAATATACCCTCCTCTTGAGATTATGTTCTTACAGTGTAAAGAGGAGACAGCCTGGTGCAAAGATTTCACTGGCCAAAGAGACTTAGTGGGAGGTGCTGTCCACACTGTATCTCAGGTGATAGCCCTTCCCTGAGGCAGTCTTTATTGAGTGCACTTGGAATGGTGGCTTAGTTCCCTGTCAAGCAAGCATGGGATCTTCCCTTTTTACAAGCATGGTGGTGGTGGGGGGAACATTTGGCTTTCTGTTTAAAAACAGGAAACAAAAAAATAATGTTCTTGAGAACACAGACTTAGTTGTCTCCCTTTAGTTTCAGTTAAGTAGGAGTAGAAGATTGCTGATCCTGGTACAGTTCATAGTCTGAAAAGTCCATTAGATTCCTAAGGATTGTTGTGTACATGCCTTCAGAAACTGGGCTCATAATTACTCCAGAATTATATGAATAACTTGTATATTATCCTGTAGAAGCAGAGTTGGGTTGTGTGACTAATAGGGGACAATGGGAGACACAAAAATTAAGAGGTGTCAGGCTTATAGATTTCACCCAGAACGCCGTACCTTTCCTCTCATAAGTGAACACTAGGTCGAGGGAGTGGGAATTTATTGCACAGACATAATTTGAACCATGGATCTTCCAAATCAGAGTTATACTTTAACAGCTCTTGGGTAGCACATCAACAATCAAGGGCAGACATTAAAGTGTGAAGTGAGCAGAAAGCGCTCAACATTTTTCTTTGCTACCTTGAGAGTAAAACACAGAGCTTGTGGAGACAACCAAAACCACTCTAAAACAAGCTTTCTCACCCTGTAGTGGAGTGGCCATTTGTGTCACCTTGCCAGAAAAGTTTTACCACAGATTATGTTCAGACAAAATAGCATTCTGTTATCACGCAGAGACTATCAATAAAGTATACCGTGCTTTTAGAAACCATGGTAACATCCTCTTTGTGTTCCTAAAAAGTATGTAAAACTCCCCAGCACATATTTTTGAGGTATATAATGTATAGTTCCATATATTATACATGAGGGGTGTCTTTTTATTAGGATTTTCAAATAAAGATATTGTAGATGATCAATCATTTTTAACTGATTCATCAAATAATGAAGTGTATTTAGCTCAATTTGCCTCGTACTAAAATCTCCATACAGAACCCTGTTGAGATCCTGAAGAAAATGTAACTTAACACTTAATAAATGAAGTGACCATATTGTGAGACTTTACTATTTGCTTTCTCATTTCTAGCATTACACAGTAACACACAAAAACCAAAAATAGCCTTTAAAATAAACAAGGGTGCCCTTTACTTGCTACTGCACCAATTAAAATTTGCTCTGATGGATTAAAATGAATGCACTGTCAATTAACTATCTGCAGCTTTAGTTAGTTAATGTGCCATTTAAACCAGTGGAAGGTTGCAGCCTTACTTTCTATTGACAAAAATAGAAACTTCATGGAGAATGAACATTTGTAGTAAAGCATTAACATATTTCTTATATTTTCAAGGAATTGTATGATCTTTAGTGTAGATATAGAGAGCTGTATAATATATGTATGCTGAGAGACTCTCCTGTTATACAGAGAAAGTAAAGGGAACAGAAAACACCTTAGGCATGGGGACAATGCAGAGTAGAGGCAGAACAGAACAGACAAAGATCTTGTACAGTTTGCTGGAGCCAACAGTCCTCTACGTATCAATTAATTTAATTAACAAATCAATCAATTAATTAACATACGGCAGTGGGTGTAGTATAGCCAGGAGAGCCAAAGACCGTCTGACAGCCTGAAACTCTAGCTCTTTTTGTGGTCAGCTAGGGTTTGGGGGGGGGGGCAGAGAAAACTGTGACTGGCTCAAGGTCACCCAGCTGGCTTCATGTGAAGGAGTGGAGGTTCGAACCCGGCTCTCCAGATTAGAGTCCGGCACTCTTAACCACTACACCAAACTGGCTCTCCCCTCTTCCCACATTACACATGTTGAGATCAACTTGCTTAGAGGAGAAGTGAGCACAAGTGCATTGCGCATCCCTTCCATCTGGCTCAGGAACAATGTTCCCTCTAAGTTGTGGAGTCTTGTGAGCAAAAATTCTACTTTGTGAGTTACTGGCATTAAAGTTGTGAGCAAACGATTTTGGCTACTGCGTAAATTAGTTTGCTCTGGAGCCATCCTTCCTGAGCTAAGACACAAATGTGTGAGCTGGAGGCTAAAAAACTGTGAGCTAGCTCACACTAACTCAGCTTAGAGGGAACACTGCTCAGGAAGTCTATGTATGTAGGAAATGTACATTCCCTATTGTAAGAGCCCTTTTTAGTGGTTACGATTTTGCATTCCTTCCTTGTAGATGAGGAGAGTACCCTACGCATGATCTTCTCAATAGATGTGGTCATTATTAGGTGTGAACAGGGAAACAAGCATATTTTCCAGCTTTCATACATGTCCACAGAAGACCAGATTACATGTGTGGTAAAATGGGGCAAGTTGGTAGTTGCCTTACAAATGGATGTTTGAGCCCTGTATACATATTACACTGAATGAGGGGATGGGATTTTGCAATGGTACCACTTTAAACAGCAGCGAGGTCTTATTTTTGAATACTTCCCATGTTAAAAAACCCCAAAACCTAAACATCTGTATGGAATAATCTAGCTAAGAAAAAGTTATAACGTATCCCTCTACCCTGATGTGCTGCAATGTTACATGCATGGGAATTCTTTATGCATTCAGAATTCTAGTCTCCCACCCATAGTCTGAAGCAGTACAATCCAGAATGAATCCCCACAAATTTACCACCTTAATCTCCGTAATATGTACAACATCTTTGGGGAATTCTGTGACAATTAGGGGAAGCGTGGTTGAATATGCCTATAGGTGATAAATAACAATGCACTAAAAGATCCATATTACTTATGTGTTGGCTGTCTGGGTGTGCTCAAAAGTGTGTTGCACAGTTTAGACAAATGGGCCTCATCCTACACTTCTCCCCACAAAGAGTGGATCCTTCTGCTGGTGCAAAGAACCTTGCTCTGGCAGTAAAGACGCATTCTGCCTATGGAGGTCTCCTTGTAACAGAAGAAGGATCTGCTGTTAGAGAAACAGTTCTCAGGATTCCACTCAATGCCTTTTCCTTCATGTCTTACTAATGGTCACAGCTTCACTGCCCTCTTCCTCCCCCTTGACATACCCTACAGACAGGGCCCAAGCATGATTTCTCCTCCCCCACACAATCCCGTTGTACCCATTCAAGTTCATGTGTCATTAAATTAAAATTTCCATCTTAATTCTGAAATGACATAAATAGTTGACACCATGGTAACAGACTCTCAGCCTAGGGCAGGTCCTCCAGGACTCTCAGGATTCACTAAGTCATACCCATTTCCAACTCCACCCATTGCTATGGTTGGACCTGCTCATAGTAATGTTTTGGAACAGAAGACTTCTAGGATCAAAAGAGCTCTAAAAGTCGCTTGATCTGGGACAGGATATGTTGTACCTAAGAAGTCTGACAGATACTTGTCCACCCTTTCAACGAAAGCTTCCAAGGAAGGGCATTTTACAGCTCAAGGCAGCCTCTTCCATTGAAGACTGACTCTTACAGTGCTTGTTTTTCTCCTAATGCTTAAGTGAGTTTGCCTTCCTGGTATTTAAACCTATTGTTCCTTGTCCTATCATGAGAGAAACTAGGAAAAATAGCTCTATTTTCCTTTCTTCTTTCTAGCATCCTTTAAAGCTGTCATCACAGCCCACAGCCAATGTTATGCTTCTCTACAGGCTGGAAATATCCAGTTCCTTTGGGTTTTCCTCACATGATTCCACCCCTGAGCTATGGTCTCAGAATACGTAGCTTGGGCAACCTTGCCCTAACTGGTCAACAAGTCAAGGCCAGTTGCTGATTTTTGCAGGGTCTTCATAGGCCTTCTTTCCCAGCATCCTCCAAAAGGTTTCAGGAATTTAACTCTAGGTCTCTTGGTACATAAGCAATAACACCCCCCCACACACACACACACACAATAACTCATATATGTTAGGTACAGCCTCTTCCCTTGAGAGGTCAAAGGCATCTTGATGAAGACCCCCTGGAATCTATGCCAATGATTCAAACCAAAATAAGAAAACTTAATTCAGAACAGTACAAATCCAGAGTCAGATACATGCATTTGGACAGCCTGTGACATGTGTAAACATTCTTTGGATGATAAACTGACATTTGACTGAAGAATGGATGTTGGACAAAGTTACAACCTATAATTTCTTACTCCCAAACTAGATTGTTTCACTGTCACATAATTAGAAAAACCATAGAACGTACCTTAAGTTCTCTGAAGAAAATGCTACTCCTGGCCCACTCGACAATCGAGAAAAGGGTTTGGTCAGCCATTTTGCACATAAGCCCAAAGGTATTGAGCTTTTCGTGTTTGCTTCTGTTGGCTTGCTCTTGCTGCAAGTATGCCATGATCTTAGCCTGGACCTGCGGCTCGTCTGGCTCACACTTCAAGAGTTCCAATATCAGGTGAGGAATACTTGCTGGCGAGCTTGTCTGATGATAACCATCCATGTATGAGTAGCCCATTATTGACTCTGGGGAGCTAGTGTAAGGGTCAGGGTACTCAGACTTAATAGCACGGCTTGGAAAGTGACCGTAGGTCTGGTACCCTTGTAGGCTACCATGTGGTGGCATTGTCATGCTAATTGGAGAGGTTACAAAGGGACTTCTGTCATAGTCTGTGGGAGGCAAGGCTGTATGGTTCAGAGGTAGGCCTTTGGAGGCAGAGTGGATATTCTGGATTGCAGAGGATATTGTTAGGTCAGTGGGCATCGCTTGGATCACCTGAGTCATGGCTTCCAACTTGAGTCCATTTGCTCGGATGAGGGCTTTCTTTTGCTGCTTCAGTGCCCGGTCCCGCTTGTACATTGGTCCAAATTTGTTTCGGCCCCCACGCATTCGGTCAGCTCTTACTGCTGTGGAAAGTGGAGGGAGGAAATGGTAGGTGTTCAGTTACAAGTTTTTAAACAACATTTACTTGAAAGTATTTACATATATACCATCAAGTCACAACTGACTTATGGGCTTTCAGGATGTGAGAAGCAGAGGTGGTTTGTCACTGCCATCCTCTACAAAGTCTTCCTTGGCAGTCCCCCATCCAAGCATCAACCCTACTGCTCCCAAGATCTGACAAGGTGGGACTATACAATACAATTCCACGTCCCACTGAAAAGTAGGAATGTAGATATATTTTGAACAGTAATTGCCTTGAGGCAGGTCCTGACTTTTTGCTTATCATGCTATTTAAAGCTCATTGTGGGTAAATAAATAGTAAATCACCCTATTTACTCGTTTGATCAAAATATATTCAGTGTTCCAAAAGGAAGGGAGGAAAAAATTCAATGGAAGTGATCTGGGCCAAATTAAGAACCCTCATTAGCTTCAGTGTTGAAATCAATGGGACTCAAAGGTGCTTAACTTCAACAGGTTGGTGCCCATCCCTTGGAAGAACTGGATATCAAAATGTTGGTGATCTTTATCCCATTATGGAACTCAGCCAACTGGATGGATGCCATTGAGAGGCACTCCTAAGTTTTCAAACCTTTCGTCACGTATGTGGCTCAGAAGCTCACACTGTGAGGGGAAAAAAAATAACAGCTGTGGTGCAAGCAGCTCCCTTTTGTTTATTTCAGTCACAACTAGAGCTTGGGTTCTCTGGAGATATTTCCCCAGGTTTAGTTGTACATGTTGAAAGAGCCTGTGTTTTCCTGTCACTTACACCAGCAATGAACGGATCTGGCAACTTGCTGATGCTGTTCAGCTTGCAACAGCACCAGGATTAGAGAGAAGTCAAGCAAACCCATCCCAACAGCTGTCTGGAGGGGGGGGTCTGTAGTGGCAGTCTCTATCACACAGCACTGTTGTCTCCACCACATAGTTTGAATGGAGCAGCCGGAGGGTCTCACCAATCCTTCCCTCCCCAATGGCAATTATATAGCAAGAAGGGTCTTTGACAGCTTGGTGACACGCTGCGATGGCTGGGGGTTAGATCCCTAAGCTTTTTATCTTTAGGATTAGCGTGCCATTAAAAATGTATTAGGAGTGCTAGGGACACAGAGGACCGTATATTATCATAAAGACGTTAACTATTAATGATTTTGGCCTAAACTCTAATTTATGGACTAGGATTTAAGACCATGTATCACAATCAAGGAAACACGCACATAAATGTCACAGGCATTTACGATTATGAGAGCATGCGTTTCTTCCCGTTCTGCTGATAACAAAAGGGAAGTTGGGTTATGTGACAACACCATAAGGGGAGTAAGATAGGAACTTTTTATTGAACAGGGATTGTTGAAATATACCAATCATGCCCCATTGCAGGCAACTCAAAACATGAGATGGAAGATTTGTTAATTTAACTCAGTGATATACCACTTATTTGTTTCCAACCATTGCAATGTTCTCTGTCCTTAAACACCACTCATCAATTTCTGATCATTGTACTTTTGGGAAACTGGACACCTTGGTCCTGCCATTCTGTGAAATTCTTTGTATGTTCTATTTGCACTTTCCAGGAAAATTGGTGTTAAGTTTGTGATGACTACTCATCCAAAGATGCAATGTCTTTTCAGCTTTTCAATCTCACCCCTCGTAAAAACAATTCTGGAGGCTCCTCCAGACCAGCGCCTGTATGGCTTTGTATGTGCATGATGCTTTGCTCATGGATTCCAGATACTGGCATCTATGCCTTTCTAAAATCATCAGCATTCCAAAGAACCAATTATATTCACAAGGAAGAACTTGGCTTGTGTGTTTTTTTTAACATGGCATTCCGTAGATGGCAGAAAAAAGCCAGGCTTACCAGTAGGATGCACAGGCAATCAAACTGGTGTATGTGCATGTAAATAAATGACCAGCCCAATAGTTAAATATAGCAGCTGGACTGAGAGTAGTAGTAGGTCCTCCCTCTTCATGCTAACGCCAGAGCATTTGCAGTGGAGAATAAGCAGATGGGAAAGGATAGTTTTCTTTCTCTATTTGCTGATTTCCCCCTGCAAATCCCTTTCTCCTGGCTGATTTCAATTCTGTCCCCCCAGCAGGACTGAGAAACTGAAGCAAATATGACCAGAGGAGAAAGACATGCTTACCCTTTCCTTCTGCCCACCAATCCTTTCCTGCAAGTTTCCTGCATTCACATTGCCTTAGAAAACCCAGGTTTGCTTTGATAACTTCTACTTCCACCCTGATATAGCTGGTAGTATACAGTCTTCAGTGCTTCCGTCTATGGACTTCAGTGAAACATTCTAAATATGGATTCTAAAGATGCTGGAATATCTGACCTGAGGACTGCAATCTGCATGTACTATGCTGTGGATCCATTTATAGGGAAATTAAACTCTCTACCAGTGAAAGAATTTTAGTTGATTATTTTCCATTGGCTGAGCAATTGGTTAGTTCATCGACTATGTATAAATAAGTCTGCACATTACCCAAACACCAATATGGGTATCTTTTTGAGACATATGAAGCAAAATGTGAGATCGTTTACAATCTGATGCAAAAGCGCACACACACACACACACACCACCATTCAACATTAGAAACAGAAACACTTCAGGCTTGTTTTACATCCTCTTTTGCAGGAACAACTGAGAACTCAATAGCCTCAGCAATTAACAACTGTAGCTTTAACTGCTTAAAAGATGACCTCACTAACCAGTCAACTAAATCTTTAGTTTATAAACCTACTGATTAAAGCTTGCAGACTTTTTTTGGGGGGGGGGGGAATTTCTCTTACTAAAATGCAAAGATTTGTGCCTAACCCAACTTTAAAATTTGCAAAACTAGAAGTAATTTAAAAAGGTATAAGCACTGATACATATTCTACATTTGAAATCAACCTTGGGATCTGCCATAAAATAAACCCAGCCTCATGCACCTAAATTCAAACGTATGGGGACAGAGATTTCTTTGAATTTGAATCCCATCATTGATACTGGCAAACCTGTAAACCAACAAACAATTCTGTACTGCATTACTCAACACAAACGAAAGATCAAGAGAGAACCAAATGCCTCTGGACAGTATAAAGGGCTGCACAAAATATGGTTTAAAAGATGGGCTAACATTAAAAATCTAGCATTGCTGATTTTCTCTTTTGGGCCATTGTATAGCTTATAAAATGTTTTCAGATTTTTTAAACAGCAAGATCTTTTGTTACCGGTTTTTAAATTATTTTTAAATTTTTCGTGAATTTCCTGAATTTTCATGTTGAGCCAACTTTTGCTTCCCACTGAAATTGATATCTGTTCATCTATTATAATGGATATTTCTATGAATAACAGAATGCCAGTGCAATACGATGCAAGCTGATCATGCATTGGTGACCCTAGCCAAATGACCATTGACCATTGGCACAATCTGATGTGCCTCTTCTCCCTCTTCATCCTCTGTGCTGGCATCGAGGAGGAGATCGAGGGTTCTCTTTGATAGTTAGAGCTTAGAACACTCCCAGTACAGTGAATTATTATAATACAGGAATAATACAGGAGACTATACTAAACAGGAAAATCAAAAATTATTATAATACAGTGGACTCTTTAGAATATACTAAATAGTATAGTAAACAGTACATTAAAGTTTAAAATATAATCTAAACTATATTAAAACCTAAAATCCACTAGAGATTTTTTTTAAAAAAATTACGTGTGTTTTCAGAAATGTGTGGTGTGGGGGGAGAGACTTGCAGTCCCTCTCTGTTAAATGCCAGTCATACTTTCAGTGATGATTTAGTTAATTATAAGCCCAGTTGCACAATCGTGCTGTGCAGGGGATTCCATTGATAACTAAGAGCGGCCCAATGTTCATGGGAGAAATATCCAATATGCTAGACCTCCACTGCTGTGTTTTGCATTTAATGCTTTGAGATGCACCTTGGTGGTTGCTGGAGATACAGTGATCAACGCTTTCCTAAATAATTTACTAGTTATCGGTTGATTTAATTCTGCTCTTTTATAGAATCAATTGTGTTTGTTCAAGCATTGTTAGCTGGTGTGTTCTATGTTCTTCTGATGGATACATTTAAACTGCCTTCCAAAGACTATAGGGGTCAACATTCTGAATGAAATTTGTACCACATGGAACCATGATCGCCAATGGTTATGACAAACCATATGGACTACATATAACCTTAATAAATAGATATATTGATATGTGTAACCTTGGTATAAAGGCCATAGTTGCAACAATTTAATGACAGATTATTCATAATGATGCATTATCTGAATGTGCAAGAGTAAGTGCATGCCTTACCTTCCAGCTTCATCCCAACACTTAGACATTTCTGAAATCGACAATATGGGCAACGCTTCCTCTGGGTTTTATCAATCTGGCAGCTTTGATTTTCTATGCACGTGTACCTTTTGTTGTTCTGGACTGTTCGTTTAAAAAAGCCCTGTGGAAGAGATGCATCACGTTTACCCATTTTGCTCTGATGGCTGGTTCCTGTATCTTATTGCAGATGCAGAAAACATGTGCCAACTCTACCTCCCTACATTCCCTTTGCCAATCGCGCACTTACAGAATGGCCAGCTTGATTTCAGATTTCTTCATGCAGTCCCTTAGAGGAAACCACTAGGCCACAGGGTGAGGAAGAAAGTTTGCTGGTGCTAGTCTGCATTGGTATTGATTTATGTCAAAACCCTTGGCCAGATGTCCTTATTACATCCTGAGCAATCAGAGTGTAACAGTCTATGAATGGACCCGTTTGGAGGGGGGGGGCAATTCTATAATATTTTAAAAGTGAATGATTTTTTAAAATGACATTTTGAATGATTTGGTGAAGAACTGAAAAAAGATCCTTTACAAGATATAGAAGAATTGTCATGTATGCCCACCTGTCTGATGAGACTTAACCCCTTAGTCCTCAATCACAATGGAAACATTTATCCTTTGTTATCATGGCCTATCTTCAGTCTACTAGTTTCCTACCTTTCTTGTCCTACTTTCCCTAAATTTCCTCTTGCCCCCCCCAATCTAAGCATAGATTGTAAGTTCCTTGGGCAGGTACCTCTTTTTGTGTGTGTGTGTGTGTGTGTATTTCTTTGTAAAGCATGTAAACTGATGGCACTATTACTATAATAACAATGCTAAAAACCATGCACCGTATCAGAACAGATATATTTCCTAGTGTCTTTATGGTTCACATAGAAACATTATACATTTAAGTTACTGCCCTTTGGGAGTAAGTCATTGAACTGCATGGTAGATTCTTCCAAGTACATAGGGACAGGCTATTATTATATAATTAATCCCCTCCACATAGTCCTAAATTCCTGTGTTTGTGACTCAGTAAAAATGCTTTAAACTATATTGCTTTGGTGTAGAGAAGTATACAGTCTGTTCCTCAAACTATTTCAAAATCGCCACAATATTCACAAAGACTATACTTTTACACACCCTTTCTCAATTTTCCAATTATTTATTTCAGACTAAAAGAGACACCTTCCTTCAATAGCTGTCTATAAGGGATCACCCAATAATTTGGAGCCCCCAGAGCTTTCAGGTTAAAATAAAACACATGTGCAAATATATTTCTCATAGTGATATGTGGTTGTTTTTTTTAAAAAAATCATTTAATTGATTTCCACTTGATTGTCCTCCAAATAAATAGTGACATAAAATACCGTTGAGGGGGAGAGGGAGTAGAAGCTCACAACTGAAATTTACATTTTCATCCTGAAAGATGAAAATCTGAAACAGTTGCCTTCAATACTGTAGCCCTGAAATTTATCAGGAACATGATACAGGAACAATAATACTCAATGTATATAAATCAACTAAAATCAATATTGAGGACAGCTGGGAATGAAAGCCCCTTTACAACTACATCACTTCACGACAACCAAATATTTAAAGGCAGTAAATATAGCCACCCTATCTACAGAACACCCCAGTGAGTTTGATTGGTGAAAAGAAAGACATTTGCTCCTCTTTGGAAAACTTGTGCCTCCCCAGAAGGAACTTCATGCATTCTGACAATATTCCAACTCCTTAAAAAGAGTCAAAAACTCTTTTTTCCCTTTTGTAGTTTAGTTTTGTATTTTAGATTTCCCCCCCTTCAATAAAAGAAATGGTACAAAACCTTGCAGCTTTCACAGGTAAGAAGTCCATAGTGATACCCAGAGACTTTATCTCCACATACTGGACACAATTCCTCAAGATCTTCATCATAGGAGTAATTCACCATTTTAAACTGAGACACTGCAGAAGTAGAACAAACAACATGCATTGAGAATTTATCCAAACTGTTCAAACATCTCCATGGCTTCAAACCTGCATTCATAATTTGAGCAGGGAAACAATTCTTACTTTCCGATGATCTTTAAATACTCAGACTGATTTAAAAACAAAAACAAAAAACAAATGGATTTTTTAAAAAATTAACAAATAACCCAAAGTATAACTTTTCCATGTTCATCTTAAGAAATGTAAGTAAGCCAGCACTCTAAAAAAAAATGCATTCAGGTTGCTTTTCTAAAAATTCAACAATTCCATTTACCAATGATTAGATGCCCAACGCAATCCTATCCATGTCCCAGAAAGCTCCACTAAAGTTCAGTGGAACAATCGTGCATAAATGTGTCCAGGGCTGCAGCCTGAGATCCCCGAAATTATTAATCAAAAACAAATGTTCTTTGAAAATGCAAGTTGCTCTTTGCAGTTTGGAAAAGCAAAGACTCCTTGCTCAAGTGGGAAAGTTAACTTTTGTCTCAGTTTCCAAACTTCTCTTTTAGAACTGTTGCTTTGCTAGATTTACCTACACTTCCTTTCAGACCTATAAAATCAGCTGCCGAGTTGGAAAGTAGTTAAAAGTTAAAAAACCCGAGGCTTTAAACGACCCCCCCCCCCAGTTTTCCGACCACTTGCTTGTTCCTGACGCCCTAAGAGTGAGTTCAAAACACTGCAAGAGTTTGCAGCGCTGGATTTTTCTTTTAAGTCCTGGCAGCTAAAACAAGGGCTAAAACTGCGGCAGAAACTACACCCTCCCCTCCTTTTTTGCTTTGTTTCTCGGTGCCACTTCGAAGGTATCTCTCTTGGCTCCAATCGAATGAACGACTAACCCAAACAGAAAAGCCCTGCGCGATAGGGCGAAGGTCTCACCAAGCGAACCAGTTTCCTGGAGGGAAGGGGAACCGCTGTCCCACCAGCTCAGGCAGGGGAAGAAAAAAGGAAAGGGGAAAAAAAAAAGATGCCTACGACATAAACAGGAAGATCTGTTGGTCTGAGATTCCCTCTAACACTCCCAAGGCAACCTAAGGCGAAAAGCAGCTGATCTCTTGCAGGGAACTCCTGACTCTGGGAACAGAAAGCCAGCCTGGGAAGTCGAGGCGGAGCAAACGCGGGGCGAGGGCCGGATGGTGAGGGTGGGGGCAGTGGCCGGGAGGCTGCAAAGGTGGGCAGAGAGGTGGGGGCAGGGAGGGATCATCTCCCCCTCCGAGAAGAGCCCAGCCAGCAGGAAGCAGCGAGGAAACCTTCGGAATGCCCACGGCTGCAGATGGCTTCCCACTTATTTGCCGCCAACTCAGTGCCAACCAGAGAATCGTTAACCACTAAGGTGTGTCAATAAACGCTAGAAACTGACTAAGGATGGAAGAGGAGGAAGGCAGGAGACAGAAGGCGCGACGAGCGACCTGAAAAAAGTGAAACAACCCTAAACCTCTTAAGGCATTTCTTGCCATTTCTTTTCCTCCCGAGACGCGCGAGAAGTTGGTAGGCTGCCGACCAGAGCAGCGAGAGAGTAGAGGTGTGAACTGCAGGAGTTTTCGAGAGGAAAAAGGCTTTCTCCAGCAAGGAGGCTTGGGCCAATGTGGTGCAGAGGAAGCTCCCAAGAGCAACGTCTCTTCCTGGGCCAGACAAGCCCCAGAAGCGCTGAAGTCAACGTCGCAAGAGGCGAGACAGTGCTGCAGAGGAGTCCTGGAGGAGATGACCTCTAGGCAAGGCCCAGGACCTCCGGGGTCCCTCTCCGAAGGCATCCCCCGCGCGCCGGGTGGGCAGCCAAACGGCCAACAGTTCTCTAACCCCCCCCC